CGCTGAACACACTGCCCCCCGGCACCCTAACCAGCCGAGCTGCTGAACACGCTGAACACACTGAACACACTGCCACCTGGCACCCTAACCAGCCGAGCTGCTGAACACGCTGAACACACTGCCACCCGGCACCCTAACCAGCCGAGCTGCTGAACACGCTGAACACACTGCAGCCTGGCACTCTAACCAGCCGAGCTGCTGAATATTTTAATTTACACTTTATTTCACAGAACACCAAAATATACAATACAAAACAACAAATTCAAAGAATGGAGGTTTACACATTAAAAAAAGGAAAATGGCTGTAGTCAGGTTTATAATATGTGAAAAGGTAACTGACCATGAAAAGGACTATTTTTAATGTCTCTTTCAAGCTTTCCTGTCTCTCTCAAGCCCAATATGAAAGTTGCCATAACTATGCTTTATGAGAACCTCCCTGCTGGAACTACTCTGCTCCACTTCTTCCACAACAAAAACTACGACTTTCTTCTTCCAAACACAGGCCTCTATGTTACCTGATACAGCACTGAACTATTAAGCTATTCAGTCACTCTTATTTATAATAACCTCCGCCCTTTTACAGTGGACTTCTCAAAGAATCCAGCACCCTATTGCAGTGATATCCAAACCTGCTGCTCCTGAATCACATCACAGCCTTTTATTTTTAGTATACTGTGCTCACAGGTTTCACAGGTCCTTACACTCCTAGATTAAATATCGCAGATTTTAGGCTCAGCTCCAGAGTAGCAATAAGAGGATTTCCCTTAATGTCGATCCCCTTGTCTAATATCTGTCCCATGAATTTCTTACCAGCATTGCTAATCACGTCTAGTAACCAAACAATGATTCCGCAAGACATAGGACCGGGACCTGAATGGACTGGTGAGGTAACCTGCAATACAACACACATGCGAGCTAGTGAAACTACTAATCCACCCCCCACCTGCTGAATATGTCCTTCAAAAACACAGGGCAAGTCCCCTCTGACTGGAGTGGTGTTTTAAACTGGCACAGGCAATAAGACATCTGGGACACCACTATGACGACATGGTAGGCCTGGCTAGGGATAGCTGCCTTGGCATTCCCAAGGGCAAGAGAGGAAAAACTGGCTAAGACTGGCTCATCTCACTGATCCTTGCCTTGCTGGCTTATTACAACTGCCGCAAATGAGCACACAAGTAACTTACCCAGAAAATTCAGAAGGCGTCGTTCTTTACACAGAAACAGCACAAGAAGTTACAGCAGATGAGATCATCGTGTGCTCAACTGATCTGGTTTACTGCATGTTTAAACTGGGATCTGAACACCAAACAGAAAAACCATGAATGTTACTGCTTTCTATCAAATATTGTTTTAGCTACAGATGGCAAACTAAAACATACCTAACATCTGCAGATCTTGTTGCCTGAGAGTGCAGACAGGGTTTTAGTCTGGGCTCCTACCCAAAAGGTGAGAGCAGCCCCCCAGGGAGGCACAGCACTGGGGGACCAGTGGTGTACCGGGAGGCTTCAAGATTTTCTGCTCTCAAACACCTGACCCCCATGAAGAAGCCCGCAAGCTTTGCACCTTCACAGGAGAGCACACAAAGAAGCTCTCTCTCCAATCCTGCACCCATTCACTCAACCCGTTATGAGAGCAGCCTCATTTCTATAAGGAACTAAGCCTCGAGCATCTGTACCGTAAAGAAAAGCCTTTCTCAGTTGACCCAAGTACAGCAACTTGTTTCATTCTAAGCAGCTACTTTTCAAACACTTTGCAAAACCTTTTTCCAGCCCTAAATTCCTTTCAAGATTTCTTCAAGTGCTTTGCTTGAGCATCTTAAAACAGACATAATCCCAAATTCTGACACATTTGCCTAGTGCCTGAAATCTTTTTGCTAAACAGCAGAACTTTTAAGCTGTTTTTCATTAAGGCTGCTTCAAACCTAGTGGAACTTTTTTCACAGCATCCGAGCTGCTACTGTATATTTACTAGGCTTTATTTACTGCTATATCATATATTGAAACAGTAGAGTCTAAATTCATAGCATCCTTAATTGTATCCTGGGCAAAAAGTATAAATATATACTTCACTTTCTCACTACTTCTGTTGGAAGGAGGTCACTGACAGTTCACACCTTAAGAGACATGTGGAGTGATTGGAGTCAGTTCAGCCCCAAAACCACAAGTCTTTTTTTATTGAGCACTGTGGAAAAGCCCTTACAAAAGCACCCATTGTGACTCCATGGCATGAACACGTTATGAATGAGAATCTTGTATATTTTCATGGTTGTTCCAATTTTAAACATTTTAATCTCTCCGTTCTGATGTTACGTGAAAACAAAAGATGACTGAAAGTGTTATTTTAAAAGGTAACTAACACTTTCAAATGTCTTTTCCCAGAAAAGTTCTCTCCTTTATTGAAGTGTTGAACTTGCTCAGTTTAAGCTGAGGCACCATACCACACAGACACTTTTCAAAAGGTGTTATGTATCTCCTACAGAACAAACAAACTACAAATGACCTGTTTCACTATTACATATTTGAGTATTGATGCTTACAGAATAAAAACCTTGCTGTGGCTTTCATTGTTGCAGTATACAGTATACTGCTGAATCCCTATGACCTCTTTACCAAAAAATGTATTACTATGTAAGTGCAGTGTTATTTTAAGGTAGAAAAATTGTCAGGAGAAAAGCCAGTTACCAGCCTTACAAGCAAATTCCCTGGCCTGACAGACTGCTCAGGGTAATATAACTCAATACCTGCCCTCCTTGACTCAGGATGTCTAATGCATCCAAAAATGAAGGAGGTCCTCATATGAATTGATCAACCCAGGGAGTGACATCAAAGGAAACACAGCCTCAGCTGCGGGACAAGTGTGGGACTTAACATCAGGATATTGATAATATCTGTGTTTTTAGGACCAAAAGCAAAGAAAATGCCAATACATTAAAAAAAAAACAACCACAGACCTAAAAACAGAGAAGGGCTGATTCCACTCGTTGTAAAGAAAGGCCACTGACCATTCCTTTCAGGGCAGAAAAAGTTTTATACCTTTGGACTTTTGTCTTCAATGTTTAACATGCTGTAAAAAACAAAGATGGGCTCCCAAAGTTCTGGCTGTTGTTCAGGTATCAGTTTTTAAGAGACAAAACAAAGCTGCACACAATGATCACATAAATGGTTTTGTTAAATCCTGCTGAAATCTGCCTGGACCTAAATCAGAAAGCCATTCCTGGGAAGGACTGCAGCAGCCTGAACCTATCCCTGACACACCTGGATGGGATATCACACAAATTCACAGGCACATGAGGATAATTTAGAGCAGGGGTCTCAGATGTCACTCCTGGAGGGCTTGATGTCTTCTGGTTATTGTTCCAACTGCGTTCTCAGTTCCAACTGTTGTTGTGGTCTAATTTTTTCATTAGTGGCTTAAAGGTAACATTTCGAACCAGTCTCTGAGGTGATTAATAGGAAATGAATGACTTGGATAATCAACTGTAAAAGATGGCAAGGAAAATCCTATATATGTCTAGTTTAGAAAACAATTGGGTTAAATGTTTGACTACTCTAATTAAACAATAAAGACACTTTGAGACACTGTAAGAAATGAATCACAACATACAGTAGTATAATAAGTTCCACATGTATGTTCTCTCAAGACCCAGTTTTTAAATATAAATGTCAAACCATACACTAAAAACTGTATTTTTGGAGTACTGTGTAAGCTATTATTGATTATTTTTCCTGACTGCAAAGCCCTTCAAAACAAGTTGAACTCAGGTCTATGTCATGGGCTTTACAGCCACATTGAAATTAATTCATATTTGCATAACAAACCTTTAGCTGGAGGAGGAAAGGAGCATTTTTTAGACACAGTACTGTGTGATTTTGTTATCTTCAGTGAACTAATTTCTGCCTGGTAGTTTTCTCGCTGGTGAATATTTAAGGCTAGGAAGTTTGTATAGTTCACAGAAATCTTAGTACAACCTAAATCATTCTGGGCTACAAATTCATTGTAGGTTCTGGGAGTGGTAAAACAGAGCGCAGTGGAGGGAAAGGGTAAATGGGACATTCAGGAACCAGGAAAAAAACATCAGTTGCTCAAAAATGCTGGAGACACTACTAAATGATGACTAAAATCAGGACAGTCCCAGTAGCATTAAGATAGAGAATCCCTCCATTAATCTGTTCCCTGGTTATATCCAAAAACGCAGAGCACAATTGAAAATGCAGATTAAAGACCTCTTTTGATGTCATCCATTTATGAAGAACCTAGTCAGGCGTGAACATCGTTTCTCATTCTCCACAAGCATCTTTTCACACGTTGGTCATCAATGTGCCCCCTACTACCACAGCCCTATATTACTGAAGTAGTAAAATCAGCCTACCCTGAGAACAGTGCAAGTTCACAATAAGACTGTGACGCACTGCACAGCAGTGGCAACATAAAAAAATGACCACTATACAACAAAAAAAGGCTACACATTCTGCTTAAAATAAATTGAAATATTCAAAATATTATCCTTTTATTTTTTCTCCTTTATCTCTTTTCATTTAACCTAACCCTTGTGAAGCTACTGTAGAACACATGAATAATCAAGACAAGTTCTCATGGCTACACTGCTTGGAAGTTGGCAAACATCACTGCTTTCTATTAAATGTAAACTTGAAGATTGGACTTGCAATCCTAAACCTTATTAATCTCACAGGCCACATCTTAATTGACAGTGTCATTTCCTGAGAGCTTCCTTGCAGAAACACTGCGGAGGCCAAGATGTCATATTCATTAAATATAACGTGTCAGTCACTGACAGAAAAAGAGTTGGCCAAGACGGATGCAGTACACTGGCAGGTCGTGTGCTCATTAAACTCGGTAAAACAACTGAGTTTCACTGCTTACAGTTGAAATAGTGAATGCAGAAACAAACCTGTAAAATATGCTTGCACAAACTCATCGCCAGGTATCTTCGGCACCGAAATCAGATGTTATTTTAAAGCCTACTTCATGTAAACCTGAACTACCATTCAAATCAAAATTTCCTTAGTATCCACTGACTAAATTTTTGCTTCTATTCAAAGCATAAGCACGTATCGATACCATTCAACGCAACATTGTACGTAGGTGTCAGGTTTTCCTTGGGAAAATCATCTTGTTTCAAAGCCAAACAGTTCTTGTCATGCTTTCACGACTCCCCAAGTCCCCAGGCGCTGCTGTTCACACGAACTCAGACCTGTGGATTTGACAGGTGCCGTACTCGCCCTCCCACACCGCCCCCCGCCTCAGTAATGGGGTTCATATTCTCCCCCCTTCCTGCCTGTTTCTTTCCGTCTCAGGTGGGCAGGGCTGTAGGAAAGTTAACACTATTTACTCCTCTTCCTCTATCAGAACAGTTCCAATTTCCTTTCTTTTCTCCATTGAGGAGCAGATATATAAACACACTATAAAGTGTCATTCGTTAATTCGGTATTATAAGATTACAGATGCGGATCTGCTTACCCTGGAGAGAGTGAGGTCTGTCATAAGCTGTTCGAAGGCCCGAGTCTCCTCGGCCTGTTTCTGGTTGTGCAGCGCAATCTTTTCGCTGAATTTCCGCGGGTTAGAGCCACCCGAGCCCGGGGATCCGGACATGGTGTGGGCCGCACAGTTCCACAAGTTAAACTCAGTTGTTTTTTTAAAAAAAATAGATAATAGACTTTAAGAAAAAAAAATGCACAGCAGGTGTCACAAGTCCTTATTTCAATCCATCTTCCCTGTTCGTAAACTCCGTATCCGAAATGATGACAACAGTATAATAGTTTGCAAAGAAAAGTGTAGCTAGATATGCATTCAGAAGCTATTCTGTACAGTTTAGAGAATATTTAGCGCCAGTCCTAAATTTTCTCAGCATTATGTACTGTCAAAATTTGTTTTGAAAGCTGACAAGTCAGAAATGTCTTAAAACTGAAAATGCCAAGCATCTAAACTTTTTATTTAGCCAAGCTTTTTAGAAAATATAATTTCTTCTTTAAAAAAAATCTCAGAAACTTTTGAACAATGGGAGTTAACGCGATGGAAAGGTAAAAAAAATGCAATGAACTTTTTAAATTGTATTTAGGAAGTATTTTAGATTGCTCGTAACGCTAAAAACGCTATGAAATAATTTGTATTTTGCGTATATATATATACATTTATACGGTCATAAATGTCACTAAAGCGGCATTTATAAGAACTTTAAAAAAGTGCTTACGGCGAAAGTAAGCATCTCGTTACAAAATCACAATAACCTAACACCGAATCCACTGTTACAGAATCCTTTCCATCCTCTGTACAAAAGACTCCATATTACAGCACCCGCGGCCACAAATCAATATCAAATGCTGGAAAGTACATATAATGTCCAGAAAATAATCTTCAATTAGTTTAAAAAACAAGGCTGTAAAATTTCATATATTTGGTCCAACAATATTGCGACTGTATGTCCGTATACTGTAACGTACGCCTGAATTTACAATGCCACTGAGCGAAGACTCTGAAATTTCAACAAGTGTCCCAAGATTTTCCACAAGCAAAAAAAGAACCACAGCACGGTGATAAAAAAGAAGAAAAAGGTCGTTATCTCCGTTGACAAAAAACGGCGAGTAGACCTGTGTACAACGAATGATCTCCAAACAAATCCCACGCTGGTTTGATTAAGGGAAAAAAAAGTCTTTCTTTAATGTTTTACAATTAAATGCAAGCTATTCGCTGTCTTGTCAGATCTGTAGGGGGTATGCAGACTCCTTTTCAACAGCTCTTGCGGCGCCTTCATCACTTCTTGTTCTTCAATAATACCGGATTTCAGGCATTGACCCCTCTCCGCTCGCCTATTTAGTTTTGCAAACCCCCCTCACCCCTAAAAGGATCCCGAGTAACAACATGAAAAACACCACTCGGTCTCCAACTGCGAAGCGACTTTCCAGTCGCTAGTGTCCGCAAGAGGGAGACAGTGAGCACTTAAAGAGGTAACAGCCCCTTTCTTTAACGCTCATCCCGAAGTTACCGCGGCACAGACAATAAGATGCAAAATTACTGTATATTTAACCCCTTGAATTCTGAAGGGAGCAAAGTGAGACTTCACCCAGTTCATAAATATTAGTTTCAAACGATGATGCAGAAACAGTAACGTGCAGGAATTGCACACGCTTTTATGTTAATCTGTAATCCACTTTATATACTGTATATAGAAAAAAATGTTTAGGATTATTACCAAATGAAAGAGACGGAATTAGTTTAAATTATTTTGTTTACTGTACTTTTCATAAAGAAGTATTGCAGACATGGAAAACTTTTCGCCTGTAAGGTATAGCACGTGATATAAAATTGACAGCACCTCTGTTGATGCTGTGTGCGCTATGTGTCCTGCCTTTGTCTAGACTCTGTTGATACGCTGTTCCACTCTGTTAAAGCAGGTTGAGCCTCCAGTAAATTATGTGTTGCATTTCCTTAATTACTTTTTTAACCCAGTTGCTGGTAATCTTTTTGATAGTCAAGTACGAGGTGGAGCATAGACTTGCAAATTTAGTGGAATGGAGTAGCCGAGACTGACCATTCCTGTTGTGTAGGCACCTGTTCTCCATGGTCTTGTGAACCATTCCAGGATGCAGTTTTCATAATAGTTATTTGAATAGGCCAACTGACTTTATAAGCACCTTGTATTATATACAGTACATATACTGTACAGTTTGTATGTGTTTATATTCATCTGTGGGTACACACAATATATCTTTATATGGACACATTCTCTTGTAACTTTAACACAGCCAATTAATTGAAATCTGAGCATGAAGACAGCTGAATGTCCCCTCAGCTATGATGTAATAATGTGCAGTGTTAAAACTGTAAGCGCAGTATTTAAAGGCCAAGACAGTACTGTTGTCTGTTTGAATGGAGCTGGGACCCTGCACTAAAGAATGACCTGGCCCAGATCTTCTATTTTCCTGTCTTATCTGAAAGCCCATGCTGCACTCATTTCTATGGAAACCGACAGTCCTGGCAGCACCTTACTTCACGATGACATCATCATAGGAGTCACAGCCTGGAGGGCTGTCAAGAGTAAAGGTCAAACGCCAGACATCATCAGCACACCACATGCAGAGCTACAGTAGCTTTACCCACTACAAGCAACAAATCAATCAGTTCTGTCCATCACACACACACGTGCACATCCATTCATGTGCAGAGGCAGTGACACATTCCTGGCAGATATGTGTACCAGCATCAGTCCAGGTCAGTGACCTTTGACTTTATAGCTACATACCTGTATTTTTCTGCTATTTTCTCTGCCCTTGGGCTTGGGTGTGACTTTCTAATTGTACAATTGTCCTTATTGAAAATTTATTTTAATTCCTTGCATTTTTGGGACACTTTTCTTAACTAAGGATTTCAAAGCATCTTGTATTTAAGAGAGGATCCATTTTATCCACTGCTGAAGTGCCCACCCCACTACAGGGCACATCAGGTAGAGGAGAAGGTTTTATTGAATTAAGGGGAAATGTTCGGGAGGCCAGATTGTATAGGTCCAAAATGGAATGTAGCCAGGACACTAGGGTTAACATCCCTATTCTTTCAAAAAGTTCCCCAAGATATTTACTGACCACATAGTGAGGACCTTGTTGTAATAACTCTGTCAAAGGACTTTTTTTGTAAAATCTCGTCCGGGGGGAGGTATGCCACTTACTGGCCCACCAACACGCCTTACAACCGTGACCTGGTTTTTCCTTAGTAGTCTCTGCTATGGCAGCATGAATCAGAACCAGTCTTGCTTAGCTTCTTAGGTCTAAAGAGATCTGGCTACATGGTGGTAACACTATTTCCACAGTGCCCAGTGAATTATACCTGGAGCTGACTGTGCACTGTATTCCTCACTCCTGTTTTTCTGCACTGCCAAGTTTGCCAAAGCTCTGCTTTTAGGATTGATGAAAAATCCAGTTCAGTCTGGCTCAGCACTGTTGGTTTCTTTTACACTGTTGTGCTCTGGTCTCATTTGCATTTCTGTATTTTACCAAATGTATGCAAATATTAGGAAGGAGTTCCTTAACATAGTGCTTTTCACTCTGTTACAGGGTTTCACTCTGTTCCCACTGAAGAAACAAACCACACTGTACTGATAAGGATGAACAAATGTTTCCATTGAAATACATGTTGTAGCCATGTCTTTAGTCACTCTTCCTGTGTTTAGAAAAATACTCATGATGCCGAGCTTCCATATTTTGCATTTTTTTGTTTATATCTAAGCTTGACAGAGGCTTTCAAATTCCGATCAGGGGCAGACTGCAAACAAATGGTGACTTTAAAAACAGTACTCTTCATTATCACAACCTATGCAGTTTGAGGAGGTGGGAAAATGACTTCCCTCTCAGCTTGAAGGACTGGCTGAAGTGGCACTTGGAAAGGAAAGTCACATACACAGCTACAAAAAGGATTCCTGGTTGTATAGTATGTTGGCACTAGAGAACTCCAAAGAGTACAGGTAGCAAAACAGACCACCTTCAGCTGATGAGCCTTTCAACAAACTCCAATGTAACTTTTAGGCAATGCTAGGTACCTGTCCCCATCATTTAACTAGTGGGTCATTAGAGGAGTTACCTAACTCCACTGTTTTCTGTATTAACTCCCCATTGTAAATAGCAGACGCAAAAGACATTTAGCTTCTGACAAAAAAGGGAGACCATAGTCGAAAGAAATGCACAATGAAAGAGGAGACACAAAAGCTCTTTTAGGACAGCACTTTATTAGGTACTGTTAAAAGCTTTGTTTTTATATTTGAAGGCACACCAGGTAATATCAAAACAGTGCAACGGAACAAAAGATTTCTTACAAATATAAGTACATCCACTGGGGCCTTTTCCTGCAGAGTGCAAGCCTGTGGTACACTGGACAAACTCAACACATCCTGAATCTCTCTCAAGAGTGGCTTATGCAGTAATGAGCATTACTGCCTGGACATGCAGGGAGGCCAGGCTACTCACATCTGCAAACACCTGGAAACAGTATACTTTCCACCCTAACACCACACATGGGGACATCTGGTGGCCTACAGCTGTTACTGCAAAACAACATTTGAAATAATACTGTATTTCTATTGAAAGCGGTGAGGAGTTCATGAATGACTATGTAACATTGGCAGGACACGGATACAATAATTATCTGCTTAAATCCAGGCAGTAATGCATCATAGATAAAAAAGGGTACTAGCAACAGAAGATTGGAAATTCTGTACAATTTAGTGGAGTCAAAATCCCAGTTCCCCTACTCTGCACCAACCCACAGGCTAGAGCAAGGAAGTCTGCTTCCACTGAGGCAAAATCCATCTCTACTTTCTGCTGTCTTTTCATAAATTATAAGATCTGCACTTATGTTTTCCAAAATTATAGATTTTGTTTTTCATTTAGCAATACATTATATATGAAGAAATGTGAAGAAAAGACATGTGTTGGCCAGGCTCTGTCCATTTTACTCTTCAGAAGTGGAGCACCTGTGGCTGAAACTAGCCATTCTGGCTGGAGTGTCTGGGGGACTTTTTAGTCATGGCACATCCGTTTGTATGGAATAAGCTTGATTTATACTGATTGTCTAATAGCATGGTACAGCAGAGCTTAACTGATTGGCAGAGATTGTCTGTGTTTTAAACGTGTTCTGTTCCACATTAATCTCAGGAATAAATATAACACTTCACAGAGCCCATCATAAGTGTTTTTTTTTAAGAAAAGCACGCACTGGTCTGTATACACTCTAAAAATCCTGAACACAGAAAATGGTGTCGAGTCAAAGATATGCTTGGAGAGAAGTAGTTTCCTTTTCCTATGGACATTCATCCCCAGACAATTCAACTTTTTCCATTTAATGAAGGAAATTAATTAAATTTAATTTAGGGAGGGGGATGTACGAGGATGAGACAGGCGAACAGAGGGGAACAGAATCCGCCAGTGCTGTTCCCTGGACACGCAGGCCAGGCTGATGTTAACACATTACAGTTTATTACTTTTAAATACCGTACACTGGTGTCCTGTGCATAAAAAGAGTTCAAGCGGAAATAAACACTTTCCACAAATTAAAAAGCATCCGAAAATATGGATTCAAGCCACAGATTGTTAATGGCTTAACATGCATAGCTGAAAGGGAGGAACCTGCCTGCAGAAATAACCCCTCCACCCCTTTTCCACCTGGACAAGCTGCTCCCCTCTTAAAATCCGTGTCTCCCAGGGCCCAGAGGATAATCTGAGAGGGATTCACTGACGGGTGAAGGGTGAGTTGCCATTATACACAATTAAAAGAGTCTGGAGATTCTAGGCTGCTGCGCTGCAGTACAGAAGTATTAAGTGTTTATTGGGGGACATATCTGCAGCCACCCCCACAAGGCCTGGTGCTCCCACCTTGTCTGAACCACAGCAAGGCTCTGAGGATGATTCCTATGGCTGGGAGTGGGGAGGGGTTGGGGGGAGACACCTCTAGTGAAGTGCTGCGTGTGAATATTCAGGTTTGTGTGTTTGTGCAGGGGGCATCTTCGAACAGAGTCTGCATCCTATCTCGTTCACATTCTTTTTATTTGCCGTAGAATTTCTTATTCAGGAGGAAGATGAGCAGGTTGACGTTGATGGTGGCTTTGTCGAACAGCTTCATCACGGCCACCCCCTCGTACTGGAGCTGCAGTAGGTCCTGCGGAGGGGAGACGGACAGAGTGAGCAGCTCAGTAGGTCTTCCATGGTCCTTATCAACAACTACAACCATTAAAATTTCTTAAGATCTGTGGGAAAGGGATAAATTAGCTGAAGTAGGAAAATACTGTCCCTATTAGGTCATGAAAAAGTCATATGAAATAAGAGAAGTTGAAATTCAATTTAGTCCATGAAAAATGACTGTAGTCCTGATTTCAGAAGGGGAACTAGAATTATATGGTCTTAATATGATTTCATTTTGATTCTCTCATACTGTATAAAACTTCAGATCTCTACAGATTTCCCTCCTTTTCTAGTCATGTCTCCTCAGTCCTTTTCTGCTTCACGGCCCCTGCGAGGCCCTGTTGGTTACACAGGTGGCATGAAGATGGATAGTTATCTTCTCAACATCAGAGAATCAGTGACCTTCCCTTGGCTCGTTCTCACAATCTGGTGGCGCTGTTAAGAGCTTGCAGAGGGAGGCACAGACAGTCCTGGGATGCCTTACCTGGTAATGTAATACTACAGTCTCTATTTGAACGCCCATAAACTTGGCCTTCACATCAAAGTCTCCAACTTCCTCGGATGGGGAGATCTCAAAGATGACATTCTTGAACCTGTGGCAGGCAGACGAAGCAAAAACGTTAGTGCCAGAGAGAGAGAGAGGGAGGCAGGTAAAGAAGAAAGTGGGAGAGGTGCAGAGAGGATAGGAGGGAAAGGAGAAAGCTCACTGGTTAGCCTGCAGTTCTTCGATGGCTATCAGCACCCCTTTCTCATGTAGTCGGGCAGCTGTGTACTTCTGAGACACCTGCTTGCTTTTCTTGGCTTTCACCTCGCCTGGTTTCTTCGACACCCTGGAGGGAAGATGGGGGAGTGAGAAACAGAGAGACATTACATAGCTGCCTGGTCTCTCGTCTGCAGGTCTGATGTTTGTCAAGTGTGAAAGGCATTTCTGAGAGTTGCCGAGCTGTGGGCATCACACAGGCGGGCTGGTCACTCACTTGCCCTTGCTGGCCAGGTTGTCCATGCAGGTCTTGATATACTGGTTGTAGTAGTCGATCTGCTCGTTGAAGAAGCTGGTCTTGGAGTTGAGGGCTGCATTGGTCTGCTGCAGTTTCACCAGCTCCGCCTTTCGCCTCTGACGGTACCGGCGCTGATTCCTGATGTCCTGGGGAAGGAAATCAGGGAGACCAGAGTGAGAAAAAGCAAGAATATGAAAGTGAAAAAGAGGGCAAGACGAGCTCAGTCTGTAAAGAACATGTTTGAACTACCAATAACAGAAACCAGAGCGGCAACAATTTTGTGAACTAAGAAGAAAGAAAACTACACCACAGGAATTTCAGTAAATGGTTCTTGAACAGCCACTTAAAGAAAAAGGGATTTATCTCCCCAATTTTCTAAATAAAAAAGCGAGTGCTAATTACCGGGTGCCTGTTTCAACCTGCCTGCCTACCCTGCAACTTACAGGACCAAACAGGTTGGATTGTAGAAATAAATCTTCATGATACAGCTTTAATCAAAACCCACTGCCCCTCAGTGATATTCTTGTGTCAGTCTCAAAGAACAGATCAATTGATTTTCCACAACTCCAACAGCACGAGGCCTTTCATTTTTGTCAACCTGCCATTTTATGCTGTAAACTGAGGCAAACATTAGCAGCGTTGACACCTAATATCTTTTTTTTTTTAGTCTCAGCCATTTCATTAAGACCAGTGTTGGCCACTGTCGTCTCCCTGTTCCTGCCTCCCTCCTGTCATGCCCTGCCCAGTGGCTGGTAGCGCTGGTACCTTGGCGATGTCGTTGATGAGGTCTTGGTAGCGCTTCTCGGGGCTGATTTTGCCCAGCTCGCCCAGGCGCTTCAGGTTGCCCTGGATCTTCTCCTTCTTGCCCTCCAGGGTGAGAGTGTCATCCTGCACCGGCTTCTTCTGCTTCATCTTCTCAGGCGTCTTGGCATCCCGGATGGCTCGGCGCTGCATGGCACGCTGGTACTCTGCTTCCTGGGGTGCGGAACAAACAACAGTCAAGATCGGCCTGGACACATGACATTTCCCCTCCCCGTTTCATGTTCCATGAGGCGTCCAGACACGTAAATGAGACCTGAAGTTTTCCCCAGGGGTGGCCACTCACTTGCTCTGCAGCAGCAGGAGTCTCCAAGATCTCAGTAAGAGTCTCTCCAGGTTGGAAGCGGATCACATCCACTATGAGCCTCTTGGTACTACGGAGAGAAGTAGGGAGAGGGAAAAGTGTCTCTCACTTTCATGGCTTCAGAGAAAGCATTGGTCAGTCTGGGGCAAGGAAGCCATGCTCGAAGAGGCTCTGCCCTCAGTTCTGTTAAGCCCATCCTGCTTCAGCACATCATTATATTTTGAAAGATAAGGAAGAGGATAAAGGTTATTCTAGGCTAAAAACAGGAAGAATTTTAAACTTGATAATATTTGGCAGGTGAATCAGAACATTTAAGAGATTTTACTTCTTCTAATGAAGATATGGATGATCAAATCACTGCACTTGCACACCAAAGAAGAGAAGCACTATACTAAATCAGTTCTTTTCAATGCCCGGTGTGCGCTGGTGCCCTACTTTAGCAAGAGCGTCTTGGCATCCATCTCAGCATTCTCACTGTCCGGAACATCAAACTTGTTGGTGAGTGTGAGGGACACCTCCGTCTTGCCCAGCATTTCCTTGTTGGGGTCACTGGCAGGCAGTGTACCTTCACCTAGGCCATGAAGAACAGGGCAAGGTCAGATCATCTTCTCACACTAATGTGCAGCAGAGACTGCATCTTATTGACAATGGCAGATACTCTGTAGTCCTCACCAATGAGTGACTCTATGGTAGGCACCTCGCCCAGGTCCTCCAACAGCTCATGGATGGGATCGTTATGTTCGGGGGCGATGGCATCCTGATGATCCAGCAAGAGCTGAAAGTAAAGAGACAAAGAGATGCTTGCATGTGACTGAGATGGACACGAAGATAGGAATTCTTAATCAGTCCCATTGACTGCTAATAGCTGTGAGCACGAGGCACGTGTGAACATGGCTGGCACTGACCGTGTGTGTGTTGATGATTTCTCCGATGGAAATGTAGATGACAGGCTTGGTCAGCGTGACCAGGTCCGAGTACTCATCCACATTGAACTTGTCTTCCAGCGAAGGGACGTCACAGGCTGCCAGCAGGAAACGCCTGTAGTGGGCGACAAGAAGGACAAGGGACTGAGAGAGGGCAAGACGAAGAGAAACACAGATGCCATATCAAGGTGGTAGGGCTGAGCAAGCAGAGGATGGGAGAAGGAGAACAGTGAGAAGAAGGGCAAAGACAGCAGTTGAGATTAAAGGATAAAAATTAACAAGCAAATGAGGTTCATACAAAGGCTTGGGCAAAAGAAGATTACACAGAGACCATCCTGCTGGAAAAAAAAAACTCTAATGGAAAATAAAAACTACCATAAGTATCCAAAAAATATGTCTCCTTCAATCTATAAACATTATTAGGATTAAGTGTGTGGACTTAGGCTGTGTGCAGGTACAGATACTGCATAAACTGAATGGGGGTTGTGTTAGACAAGCAGCCTGTCAGGTGGGCACGAAGGAACGGAGGACACACCTAAATTTCTGGTAGGAGTTGCTGAGGTATTCATTGATGGGGTTGAGGTGTGCGTTGTCTCCTAGAAACATCTTGTTAGATGCCGCGTGCTGCAGCATTTTGGCGATGGAGCCCAGGTTACGGCGCTGGTCAGTGGTCAGCTGTCCTCCCGCAGACAGGTCAATGATGTCAAAAGCATCTGGTGCCACAATAGCAGGGTTCATGTAGCGGTAATACAGCAGGTTCCCCACGATCTGAAATACACAGTGAATCAGTGACTAAGTTGGACGTTTACAATCACAGGTCTTCTGATTGCAGCCAAAGCAATTAACTGGCAATGCACACAACCAATCTCTGATCATATTCTCTGGCTAACTCATTGCTCATTGCCTGTTAGCGATACAGGTCCATTTGCCGATATCCTGACGTGTGATTCAAAATAAGACAATCTATAAACAACCTAACACCTGATATTGACATTTCTTCACTTCAAATAGGCTTACCATTAGCAACATGGACAACTTTTAGGTTGTCACAGACTTCACTTCAGTCACACAAATGATTACAGTTTGCTCAACAATTACTGTGGGAAACAAATGCCAAGAAGAATATTTGCCTGAGGTAGTGGTGAACAGCAGCACTGTGTTCTGACTGAAGTGCCTTTTATTAGTACACGTCTGTAGAGTCTTTTTTCTTTTACCATGCCTGTGATGTGTTTCCTAGATGTCTGTGTGTGGCTGCAGAGACTGACAGATCTCACTGGTCTTGTAGGAGCAAGGGTGAAGGGACAAGAGACATGGGCAGCTGCTCACCTTTCCTGTGCCAGGGCACTGGAGTACAACACATCCCCAGAGGCAAGCACAGGCAAGTGCAGAGAGGACAGCTGGAGCCGAGAAGAGAGAGAGAGGGAGGGAGAGGGAGAGGGGAGAGGGGGAGGTGGAGATAAAAAGAAACAGCTCACAATACAAAAAGAAGGGAAAGGTGTAGACTGTGAGGGAAGCACAGTGTGGGGGAGATGGAACAGTGCCTTCTCCCCACAGATGCTGGGGTGAAAGTGCAGGTAGGGACAAGCAAGAAACTAAGGTTGAGGGTGCAGTCAAGCCTGAGAGAACCTCTGGTTTGCCTCCACTGACATTTTAGGCACAGCCCAGGCAACATAGATCGTGTTGTACAGCAAACAGTGGGTTTCAGGAGTCCCATGATAAAAGACAGTCAAAGCAACGCCCCCCCCTCTCCTCTAGCATATAAACTACAGAAACTTCTTTGAAGAAAAGCATCGGCCTGCACATTAAGAGGGAGTGAGTAGTTTTTATAGCCAAGAGAACTAAATGCAACACATGATATACGTATTTATACATTTTAAAAAATGGTCATGATCTGAGCTTGCCTCCTTACACATTACACTACTGACAACTCTTAATCCCTGCTTGGAAGGGAAACTCCCTGAACTAAATGAAGTTTGTACCTGGAGGGAATCTTCAGAGTAAGTTTATTTTAACCTTTATTAAGCACAATAGTTAAAATTAAGTTGATTTAACTTCTCACGTCTCTATACATTTATATCCAGATGCATAATTAACACATTCATTACACACATATTTGCAGACAGCTGAATGGCACCTTTTGCTTTAGTTGCATAGATAATGGAAAATCTAACTACAGAGCTGATTTCCTAAGCTGTGGAAAGTACTGGCATTATGTTCCTCAGTCCTGTGTGGTCTGGTGAGAACTGCGCCCACTCACTGCTGGGCTTGCTACAGTGTTTAACAGACCTTCAGCAGCTCATCTTCGGTGGCATCTGGGAACTTCTCATGTAGCGTGTCCTTCAGCACCTTGGCAATGAACCGCATCCCGTATCTGTAACAGAGCAGAAATATGCAGGGTTCATGTATAGACAACATTTTTTCCAATGATTCTTCCCCATTACTCCACCTGGGGATGTATACGTACGGTATTTTGTCCACTGAGACAATAATTGCAGACAGGAACTTGTCCGTGACGGTCCTCATGTTCTTGATTGACGCGTCCAGCCTGGTACGCACCTCTTCATGAGCCATGGCCTGCTCCGGAGTCACGTCGTAGGGCAGCTTACTGTCAACACGCCAGGTCAAGTCAGAACAACACGTAAAACCTCCTTCTTCCAGTCTAACGTTAATCCTTAACCCCAGACCTAGTCTTAACCCTAACGCTAGTATTAATCTAGCTCTACCCCTAGCTCCAACCTGTGGCCTACCCTTCGCACTAACTTTAATTCTAAACTTAATCTTAGACCTTTATTGTTTTTCCAAGTATTTGCCTGGAACTGACCAGTTTTTGAGACCTGATTAAAGACTTCCATGAAATAGAAGATTAAAGATCCATGATGCGATTCCAAAAATTCCAAAATGTGAACTATTCTGACAGAACCAGGGCTGATCATGCAAGAGCTGGAGCAAAGAGCACCTCTCACCTGGCCTCGCCAGTCTGAGACTCCATTTGGTTAACCCAGCTCTTATAGATGTCCACAGGGTCGGTTTTGATGTTCAGTGTCTTGTCGTCCATGATCTCCTTAACCACAGGGGACAAGATCTGGCGCAGAGCGTTCTGGCCGCGCGCCCCACGGTTGAAGCTCACCACCATCTTAATTACCGTGGGGTTCCCGGTCACGATCTCCTGGATCTGGTCCACTTTTGACCTGCACACAAACCCCAAAGAAGTTCATTACTGGACCTCTACACAGACACGTGCATCACAAAATCAGATACAGGTATTTCTCATTGAACTTTGTGGCTTGTAGTACATGTTGAACTTAATACGCAACAAGCTATATGTAATATAGGAACAAGTAATAGGTTTATTCCATGATGAAAAGAGAAGAAAGAAAACAGCCTTCCTTGGAGCCTATGTATGATGATGCAGCTAGACACCTATACAGAATATATATATATATGTCCATGATTACATTCAAGTGACAATATTGTTGATGAAGCTAAAATGCTACAGCTGAACTGAGAATTAAAAAAAAAGACCCATCAGTTGAAAGCAATGTACATCAATGTCAATGTTTTAAAAGAGACTGTGTACTCCACAGGAGAACTAGAAAATAGTTGGAAGTGTGTCTCCTAGTTTAGAAATCATCTCCACTATAAAAGCAAAATTTATTTTTTGGAAACCTTTTGCAAATTTATTTTTTGCAATTCATAAATCACAAGGACAAAGGCAGCAGTGCTGCTTGGCATAGAAATCTCTTGCTGCGCTGTCTTGCACCATTCTTTGATGGGAGCTGATGCAGGAAGAGGCATACAGTAGACCCTTGCTCTCTTACTTGATTTCCTCCTGAAGAGCAGTCTTGAAGAGCTTGAGAAGCAGGTACTCCTCCCGCTGATTGGAGGCGTAATTATAGAGCGTGAAAATCACAGAGTCCATGAACTTGGTAGACTTGTTCTGGGGCATCTGGAAGATCAGCTTGGCCAGGTAGGTGGGGTTTGTCTAAGGGAAGCATGGAGAGGGGCATACTATGAACCTCCTTTGTCATACCACAACACGCTAAAACATGCCAGACAAGGAGAGTGCTCTTAGGTACCCCTTATTTCAGAAGTGTGTGACTAATTGAAACCGAAAAGGGTTGCAGAAGTTAACCGAATTCTATTCATTTGACACTGCAGAGCTTTTAAGGACAATCAGATATGACAAAGTGATTAAGCGTCAGTTGTTTTTCAGAGGTATTTGGTGTGCAGAATACTTAGGCCAGAGGCCCAGGGGTACGGTTATAAAGCACTTCCCTACACATTCTACAGTGTAGGTTTTGAGAAAAGGAAAAATAAATTCTTAATTTCACAAAACTCAAAATAAATGTTTAAATTGTACCCTGTGTGTGCAAAGGTCTAAAATTAGCTAAACGCAAGGATATGTCTGATATATAATAGCTTTATAGTTTTTTTACCTTCATAGGTAAATAAACAGGACTCAACAGGAAATTATAGTCAATGTCTGCAGTCAGTGATGTATACCTGAAGCAGGTAGAAAAGATACTGGTAGGCTTCCAGCTTGACTCTCTTCTCCTTGCTAAGAGCCTTCAACCCTCCCTTCTGCTTGTTCATCATCAACATGTCAGACAGTTGGTCCTTATTCTTCTTTGACAGTTTCTTGCTGTGAGACACCACTTCCTGCACAGGAACAGAACACAAACACACAAGAGTCACTGCTGGCTCTTGCCACTAGGGGGAGACACCTACAATACCGTGTGAGTAAGGAACTGTACTGAAGATGTGGCAGTGGATAAACACACGAAGAGCTATAGGAATAAAAACTATCTTTATGGCATGAAGACCGATATTAAAATTAGCCTCTCACTAACTTCAAGAAGAACACATTACAGACAATGCAGTTTTATTTTATTGAAAATACAGTTTTTCTGGGCATTTTCACATTATAAACAGTCCAGGTTTGGTGCCAATTTTGTAGTCCCAATGTTAAGTATTAAACAACTGTTAAGTGTTTGCAGTCAAGTGGCCCTGAGTACTGCATAGTAACTGATAAGACACTACGCCCAGGCAGCCTAAGCAATGGATCTGTACCTGCAGGGTGATTTTGTTTTTCACCAGCAGGCCGATCTTGATGTCCATGAGGTTCAGGTCGTTCTCCAGCTGCTGGTTGGAGCGGATGTTGGTGACCACCTCCTCGCGCAGCCTCATCAGCTCCAGCTCCTCCTGGAAATCCTGGTCGCTGTGGTCCAGCAAGTGGACAAACTTCCGCACCACCGCCATCGGGGGGTCCTCGGCGCTGACTGGACAAGAGGGCGAAGAAGAGGAAGGAGGTCACGGACGGATACGACATGGAATACTATCAAACGGAACAGGAGATGGGGGGAAGAGACCAAGAAGGGAAAAGCAGGCATGTGAGAGAGACAGCAACAGTGAAGAGAGCAGCATAGACCTTCAGGAATAGAGGGAATGACTTCAGAAAAAAATGCATAAAAACAGTAATTCTAAAACACCGTGTTGCTACATCTGTATTTAGCAGAATCATACATACATTGAAATACAAGTGCAAATGAAGACTAAATAACTGTAGCGAGAGCAGACAGAGGTTGGATGCAGAGTGCTGGCTCTTGCTCCTTTCCCATATGGATACTCACTTAGAGTCTTGTAGTCATCCCTAGCTTTGTTGGCTCGGATGAATGCCTGAATCTTCACAATTTCAGCCATCTGGAACAAACATAAACGGTCAATATATGCAAGTATTCATACTGAGCCAGTGCGGCACAATAATGATATGGCATCATGGCATACTCACATGGTCTCTGAAATATTTGAGGCGGTCCTGGTACTTCTTCCGGGCTTGATACATCCTCACCTTTGACTGGATCTGAGGGGAGAACCACCATCACTCACAGGCACAGACCGACTGCAGATCTGGCTGTAGACATTCCTACAAACACACCCACATACCCAGGGACACGAGACTGAGACAAAACCATGCAGCACCACCCAAATGGCGTTTAAGCAAAAAATACTGACTTTTAACTCAACAAAAGCATGAACAGGCAGACAAAAAAAAGGACATGCCACAAAAACTGAGTGAGCTACCTTGACAGCCTCCTCACTGTGGTCCTTAAGGTACTGCTTCCTGTCCTGGAACTTCTTCCTCTGCTTGTGTCCTCTCCAATGGGCCTGTTAGAAAGAGTCAACACATCAGTACTGTCTAAATTTGGTTTCTTTTGCAGCTATGAACCTGCACCCAGATAAAAAGACTAGTGCATAATTTCCTGTGCACTATGTCAGAGGGACCTAAGCCTTTGTGCACGTACTGTACTGTACAAACAGCTGAGAAAGGTCAATGTGGCCCCTCGCCATACTAAGATGGTAGCACGCACAGATGCAGCGGCTGATTCTTGTCTGGAAAAAACAGCGCCTCCTCAGCACCCTGGAATCTACTTGCACCCACTCCAATTCCAGAAACTGTGTTTATATCCCCCCGGTGTGTTGTATATATTGTCTTATGTATTTGCCTTGTAATTTGCACTACCTGCACTTGGCACTATGTGTATCCTGTCTACAATGTCAGTGTCCTGTCTGTATTTGCACTGTGGACCAGGAGGAACGATATTCTGTTCCACTGTATACTTGTATATGGCTGGAATGACAAATAAACATGAACTTGATCTTGTGTGTCTCACCGTGTTTACAGCAGAGACCTGTAGGTTAGAGGGCTGTACCTGGATGCGGGTGATGGCCGGGTCCTGGGACTTCAGGTAGCTGAGCCGTTTCTTCAGGCCGTCCCTCACCAGGAAGCCCCGACAGCGGGCCTGCAGCTTGCTGATGAGGCTCTCGTTGGCCAGCCACAGCTGCTCCCGATTATAGGCGCTGGTCACTCCAGACACCACCGACTGAGAGCAGCGATTGTGGGAGCGAGACAGAAAGAGTAACAGTACGTCAACTCACTAGTGGTATCATTTGATCCAAACGTGGTTTTAATAATGATCCCCACGTAAGGCTGCGTCTGCTGGACACGCTAAAAAGAATACAGACAGATGTTTGTTTTGAAACAAAGTGTTCTCCTCGTCACTACCAGAAAAAATGAAATAAACTCCTGATACCGGCTTCACTTTACTCTTTATCACCTTCTTACTTCTTACTCTGCCCCTACCCTCCTTCTTGCCAGATGCCCACCTGGATCTCCTCCTTGCTCAGCTGGGTGTTGTTCTGAATGAAGTTGGGGGGCTCATCCCAGCTGCCCTCTCTCGTTTTCAAGTTGAAGTAGTAATTGTGTCCCCCCTTCACCCAGTTCTTCATCCACTCACTGCCGTTGTCACCTACAGGCAAGGGAATGGGACAGGACTGGCTTTTCACCAAACCTCGGCTAGAAACAGATTTAGCCTTAACACTCTGCATTGTTTAATAAAGAGCTGACATTAACTGTGAAGCAAAAGTACCCAACTATAAAGGCATTTTTAATGACCACATTAGGAGCTTGTACCATAAAGAGACTAACAAAAAGACATTGACTTTAACCATGCAACCCAGACTCAGGTGAAACAAAATGAGCACTTCTGTAAAAATACTTGGACAACCAACTGCCACTTCCTACGTTCTTCAGACAACTCTCACCTTCTGTCTTCTTGTCCTGCTTGGCATTGGCGAGGTCGTTTTGGTAGGTCTGGGCACACTCTGGGGTAATGCCATACAGCCCCGAACTGGGGCAGCGGAGGGCTGCCAGGGTCTGGGGGGCATCTCCTTGTTCCACTGCCTCATTGATGGCCAAGATTGCCTGGGAGACTAATGGAGCATGAGCAAGAGAGAGAGAAGAGGAGGTGAGGAGAGAGCTGCAGAGATCTTATCCACACACGGCCCCCCAGAAACACGTCTCTGAAACAGCCCCGCTCCCTCAGTTTTACTGGGTGGTTCAGATCAGAGTAAGTTAGTTAACAGTTCTCTGTGTATACTGAGAGACCTATGTGAGACTGGATAGAGAACCACAATGTATCACGCAATTTCACAACTTTTTCACAAGGATTGATATTGAACTGTTGCATCCCACTCAAAAACATAAAAAGCCTTCTAGTCTGTCATGTGAACAGATCTTGGGTGTAATAGAGACAACAACCTCTCCCTTTACCAGTGCGGGCCCAGAGAGAATAACAGTGTTGAATGGACAGGCGGTCATTCTGAGTCGGAGGGTATGGTCTTACACAGCAGGGCATCCTGGGTATCTTTATTGGAGGTGTGCACAGTGTCCTGGATCTCATCCAGCCACAGCACAGCTGAAGGGTCCTGGGTCTCCTGCAGAGAGAGATGCACACAGTCAAGGGGGACTGCAGTCCCAATTTCTCAGCCTGGCTACAAAATCTCCATAACAAAATAAATTAATTGAAATTCTAGAAAAAAAATACAAATTTTGAATTAAGCACAAAACGTTGAACTTTGTCGAAGTACTGTAAGTCGCAGTGTTGTCGCAAACCCCTAGTCTCGCCATGGGCAAGAGTGAGAGTTTGCGTGAATCGTGATATGGAGCAGCCCTTCTTGCTCACTAGTCACTGTAATGCAATGTACGAGCGAGTAAGTAATGCAGATGGCATTTAACATTTCATTGTTTCAACGTGATCTGCAGGCAGAGTTAACATACACAGTTGTCAGCAAAACTGTCTTGAAGTCAAGAGCAATATTTCGAGTAGATTAAAAGAAATGTATTTACAAGCCTGCTTGTTTATAGTGCCATATGGCTGCAACACCTGACCAGAAGTTTTATTTCCTCGTTCTGAATAGCAGAATATGGCGCTGTGCAGACCTGGAAATTTCAGCTTTTTTGTGATATAAATTGGAGGTTTCACAAGTTACTGTGTACATTTAACTTTTATTGTGGTTTGAAATGCATTCTTTAATGCTGATTCCTTCTAACCCCGAAATTTTAAATCAGAATTGCAGTTCCCCTTTAGTAAAGGACACAGAAGCTTTACAACCATCTAATCCATACCGAACCAGAAGTGCTCCGTTCATCCATCAGTGAGCAGTGAACACACAAGTAAAAATTAACTGGGCACTCTACAGGTTTGCTGATAATGACAAGCATGAGATCAGTCAGCATCAAAAAAGACGATGTTACTGTGGTTGTAAAAAGATGCGACAACCTTACGAGACTGTTGAGACTCAACAGTATGAGACTTCTGTGTTACCTTCAATGGCACTTCTTTACTACATACAGAAATATACACCCCCAGGATTTTTTTTAGCGTAGCGTGAATTACAGTAAACCCACCCCCAATGCAGGATCGTCTGACATGGATTAGATTTTACTAAAAAAAAAAACAGAAAAGAGTAGAAACAAGAATGTGCTGAACATGAAAATTCAGACTAGATGTGGTCATATGCGGTCCACCAAAAGTAGTATTTAACAAGTTGTTGCCCTTTTGACCCAAGTTCTGAAAACGGCTTATGACTGGGAGGTCACGCAAACAGTATCATGATGTTCAGTTACCAACTTTCACTATTTGTTCTCGTCTCTCTTGATGCAACAAGTTTAAACCAGAGCAATGTATTCCAGACAGCTGTACCAGGCTTGAACTACACCTCTGTTTCGACTGATCTGAATCGAGAGATCAATAACTCGGATTCTCCCAGCAGGGCTAACAGGTGGCATTTGCTCTTCTTAAATGCAGTAAAGTATTTTTCGTATAATGAGAATGTTTTAGTAATGAATCTACACGAGTAGCTGAATTTTTTAAAATCCTGTACAATAAGGATAACAAAACATTTGCATCCCCCTCAAATTAACTCTGAATCCCACTTTAGCACAGACATGAGGTTAGGTAAGTATGAGATGAAGCCAAATCCTTTTTTGATGTTTCCAGGTACTGTGTTGATGTCACCTTAAAAAAAGACTGTCCATTAAAGTTAATTCCTTCTATTGTAAATATCTGCTGTTACTGTTAGTCGAGGAAAACTGACAACTTTAGAAATTAAAATCCAGTGTGTGTTCCTTGAGGAATCAGAAGAGTTGTCAAGATTTAAGTTGGGAGAAGAGCTGTTAAGATGGATGTTGATCACATTAACTGAGCGTCCATGGTCAGCTTAAATATTTACTGGTTCAGCAGTAGTTCAGAGATCTATTGGTTACAGAGCTTCTGCAGTGAGCACAAATGTCATTTCAGCCTGGGAAGGGATGCTGTAATTTTCCACTGGCCAGCTGACCACAGGGACTGAATCACGGTCTCCTTCAAGTGGCTTCTTAAGCTCTAAATCTTCCTAATTACCCATTCATTGAGTATCTCATGACACCAATACACAAAATACTATTGGTGATAAAATACTACCAACAAATATTACAGGATGTTTACTTTGTAACTTGCCCAAGGTCAAAGGTTCTACACTTCAGAGTTGGATGATGTGGGCCAGCTGCTACTCTTGGATGGATTAAGATTAAGCAAGACAAGCATGAAAAAATTATTTTAAGAAACTCTTGTCGAACTGGCTCTCAACTATCACTAGGCCGCAGTTACAAACATTTGCCACCAGATGGCGCCTGCAGCGTGTGTAAATGTCAAGCGCTGCCTGCTGAGCTTGGTTTCCGGAATGAAAACAACTGCCTGCTGATTGGATGAAACACAGAGCCCTCTTTGTGCAACCCCCCCACCCTCCAACCTCCTCTCTTCTGAGAAAATATGGCCTGTAGTGGACACAACACACTCATACTCACTTAGTAGAAGTGAAAGACAATCTGTTGGTGCAGACAACAGGCTCAAGTCTCCAGCTGGTGATTAAAGCTGATTAGATATCAGGGACAGTGGATGGTACATGCACTAGAAACATTATGTATTTCTAAGAGTTCACAAATGCACACTGATTGCTTTCTTCTAGTTAGCACACTGTTGTTACAGTAAACAAAATGTGATTCTAAATATAGACCCAGAGTTAACTGGTGATTACTAGAGAGGAATAAAGTTCCAGAGATGGGGTTAAGATTTCTCTAATTACAGTTAAGTATTTTGTCACAAATACCCCTTCGATGCCGAATTGAGGAAGTGAGAATATGGGTGTGGTACACCAGATTTCACCCTGCCGTCTTCTCTTTTCTGATTTCAACCCAAAATTCCAGTAAAGACAGAATGATGCTGACACTAAAACCTGTGTCATGTCATTCTGGTGGTGATGTGTGTTCAGATTTAGATTTGCTTGTGATGGAGGGGGAGGTTGGGGTTTAAGAAACAAAATAGGAGCAAGGCTGTGAGAAGCACCTCGCTCAGTTCACAACTGCATGAGAGCTCTCAGAGGGCCACGCTACACAGGTGCCGGAGAGCCTGCAGAGCTTGGACACACTCCGACTCTCGGCTCATGCTCGCCACAAACACCACAGGCCTGCAGCCTGTGGGCTGCACATTCAAGGTGCCAGGAATAACACTGCCGACGTAGACCTCCATCTCCGCCTCTCAAACAAAGCAGAACACTTCCATTTTATCACAGTGACTCCTTTTCATCCTTTCAGTCTTGCTGATCACGCCTTACACAGAGTTAGCCGATCAATCTCCCGCGCCCTCTACACTCCCTGCCTCCTTTCTCCCTTCGTGTGGGCTCCTTCCCCGTCTCCCTCTGCTCTCGGCTCCGGCAGCATGTGCATCGCGTTGCAATACTTCGCCGTCCAAGGACTTCCTCTCTGTAAGCCACTTCCTGTGTCATTAAAGAACAGAGCTGAGTTTGAGAGCTCCTGAGCACAGTCCCGCTGCTGGGGGGGGGGACTGCATTCTGCTGATCAGCTTCCAGGAGCTCCGAGGAACATGTGCGGCGTCTCGTGATGTGACCGTCATTCACGCACAACAGATCCCCTTTCTGTATCTCTGTATCAGTGAGAGACTGTCGGAATCACAGTAAAAATGAACATTAAACGAGGACGTTGTGGTGAAAAAGAGGAACTCCTTCACTAAGAGGCGAGATTAATTTCTCCCCAGGAGGTGTTATCTATTCTATTATTATCTATCTAAGAGCTGCACAGAGTCACTCCCTGCAGGGTCCACCACCCAGACTTGAGGTTTCATGAAGGCAAAGATTCCATTGGACAGCGGGAGTTTTAGGAGCTGGCTTGCTTGCCCATATAAGGAAGCAATATCGATGACTGGCCCTTAGTCTCCACCCCCTTCCAGCCACCGATAGGGTTTTGTTATTTGCTTTTTTGGGAACATGTGGTAAGGAAATGGTCTTGGCAACTAACACAAATCCAATTCCCACAGCACTGAAGTTCCAGACAGGATGCTGATAAGGGTGAAACATTAAAAAAAAACAAACAATAAAAAGGGGGTGTCCCAAAAACTCATGAACTCCGGCCATTCCAGTTCAGTGCAGTATTTCAGTCAGTAACACATAACAGAAGGAAGTCAGTTTGCCTCCTAATAATGGACAGCCTGACTTAGCCAATTACCCAAAAGGACACTTGAGACGAGCATAACTTTGACATCCATATGTTACCTCCTCTCACTTTGTCCAGTGTTCCAGATTGGCATTAACTCTGGAAGATGAGGGAGGAATCCAGAAAGCATAATACATTTTTCCCTAAAAAACTTTCCGATTAAAAAAAACCCAAACTCGTTCAGTTCCACAAGCTGTGCCGAGCTAAAATTTCCATTGCAGCATTTCAATCAAACTGAAAACGAAGGAAACCATATTCCAAATGCTTGGTGCAAGGTTCTGCGATTTAGTCACTCTGACCTCGGAACAGAAAATAAATTCAGACTCAACACATTGCCCAAATAAAAGACACCTATGTCTATGAATGGAAAGAACAGCTCACCACACGACTACAGATACACTGCCCACTTGGAAATGTTAGCGCTTCAGCATGAACTTGATGGCCCCCAATCCCTTTAGCTAACCCTTCCCTAACAGACTATCAACAGAAACACCCTTCCCAGTTCTGAAAACAGAATCTCTGCAATGACACCCTGAAACATAACTTTGAGCTTCAAACCAGCAGGAAACCTCTGAAATATACTACACATATGGCCGTCATCTTCACCTTTCACCAGAAAAAACCCTGCACATTAATTTCTGTCGACACTCAGGCTATCAGACGCCTCACACCCTGTCACAGAGGAGAGCTTGAGATTCAAAACAGCAAACCAGCACCCTCTATCTTTACAGCCAACTCCGCTATCACTGAAACCTGTTCGCTACTTGCAATTTTTTCAATGGCAACCATGACGTGATGCCATCTCCGTGGCAACTTGCGCACCCAAATCACCATGGCAACCAGACGAGTCTACACTCAGTCTGCCAATTCACCAGTTGCCGTGATGACAAGATTGGGATAATCATCAATACCATTGGTGCACAATTAAGGTGGTATTTACCTTTTTTCAGCGGGTATCTAAGTCCTGCATAGACAATACTCCTCGTTCAGTCATATGGTTTACCGTCGTATCTCTTGTTGTGTAATCCCTCGGCTTTGAATAACCTTTGTTTCGATCACGACTTTGGACTTCCCCACTGTTTGGCCTGCTTTCTCCATGCTTTGGCCCTGCCTGTTTGACCTCATCTTGGACTGAGCCCAGTGCTTTGGGCTCTGTCTGTAAATCAACTCTGCGACGGATTCCCCTTCAATAGGATCCTCTCAGCTTGACCCCTGCCTGCCTGACTACATCTCTGGATTGTGTCTGCCTTTTCAGTTTTACTTTTGCCTGCCTGCCCTTCCTGCTTTCAGCAGAGCCAGCTCTTGGATTCAATCTTCTGTCTCCTGACCGCAGCTTCTGTCGGGTCAGTGCAGCAGATCTCACACATCAGACTTGATCCTCCAACAGCCTGTCACTAACACATCCATCCATTTTCTCACCACTGTATGCAATACAGTGTCGCAGGAGAGCTGGAGTCTATTCTGGCAAGCACTAGGCTCATGGCAGGGTGCACCCTGGATTGGACACAAGTCCATTGCAGGTCTCAAACAAACACACACACACCAGAATACCAATTAACAGATCTTTCTGTATTTGCTGTGTGGAAGGAATCCGGAGCACCTGGAGGAAACCCACTTGAGCACAGGAAGAAAATACAAACTCCACACAAGTCCAACCCTAGGAATTGAACCCAGAGCTGCAGCACTGCGCGGTAGCAACACGATGCCGCCCCACTTTCACTAATCTTGTCACATTAAATGTTTGTAACTGTGCTTCAACATTTTTGTAAAAATTGCTTTTCTAACTTTGAAACAAACAGTGCAATTTTGTTTTATACTGCAGGGTGTCAGAGAGAAACACCATAATCCTGTGGTATTGTTGGTTTTGCTGAAGAGTTTAGCTACATGCGCGTCTCAGGGATTAGTGTTGGTCTAATTAAGTTCAAGCCTCGCTGATTAGTCTCTGGTGACTGTCCTGCTATGCAACATTTCTGCTTCCCTGAGTTTGCTTTGATGGCTTATAAGTGCATTCTTGCTGTTTGTTAAAGCAGCCTGAAGTCTTGAACCCTAGGCACCACCAGCTTCTCAAACTAAGTTAATGACCAGGACTGTCAGAATGCACTCCTGAGAAATTCAATGGAGAACTAAGCGAGGAAGGAGGTTGCCAACTAGTGTCCTTTCAAACTGCACACAAAGCACTCATGAAGTTGGGCTCGGCAGAGCGGGTGGCTGGCCTTACGTGTGCCTTCTCCCTGCGGGCCTCCAGCAGCTTGTCGTAGTAGTGTTGTGCCACTGGAGGGTCCACATCCGACAGCTTGGCAGCTGGGTGCTGCAGAGCCGCCAGCGTCTTCTGTACGTCGCCTTCCTCCAGCGCCTCATTGATCTGCCCGATTGCCATGATCCCTGGTGTTAAGAGGGGCAGAAGGGAGTCAGAGTCGCATTCAGTCGTATCTTGTTCGCGCCACCTTCTCTTCTGCTCAACCGCATCCCGTCTGCCCTTTGATCAATTCGCTGCTGCGAGGAACTGATCATTGAGCTGTTCACAACCATCATGCCAAACAGTCTTCTCAAAGGGAGTTTTCTGAACTATTCAATGCTTAGCTGAGAATACCTCCCACTAGTTTAGACAACTGACCCCAATCTTTCCTTCACATGTGAGCCCTCCTCCAATAATTTTGTACACTAGTTTCCTGTCTCACATCAGTGTTTATGAAAGCCGCTCTCGGTCTTCCTGTTCAATGGGAGCCTTCTGCACAGTCTCTCTGTCCAGTAGTCGACTTACTTTCATGTTCCTCCTGGACAGCGGTGTTGACTTGGTCTATGCAGGCTTGGATGTCGTTCCAAGAGAGAAACTCATTGGTCTCAGCCCGTACCGCCATCTTCATCCGCATCAACTCATCGATGTACCTGAAAGTAGCATAGGGTTTAAACTTCCTGTGACTTCCATGCATTAAATTAACATGTGGTTGCTGCACGCTCCTTACTCTTAGGTCCACAATGCAGCAATTCCCCTTTAATACATCGCTGTACTGTGGTTTTAAACCTCACTAAGCCATTTTTCCTGCACCGCACAGATTTTTCTTTCCATGGATCACTCAACTTATACTATGACAACACTTAAGTCAGTCTAAGTGACTTCAGTGAACTGACCCCAAACTATTCTGCTTCAGGTCCTTTTGTCCACATTTTCTCTGCACATGGCCCCTTTGTGTCCAGCTCCTCCACTCCAAAAGCACCTTCGCCCAACCTTGCCCGGCCTCTAAGCAGTGCTCCGCTGCTCCTCACCTCTGGGCACACTCGTCTTCCACGTTGCTGAGCCCAGTCACGGGGCTCTCTAGCTGCCTCCACACTGCCGCCCTGTCACCTGCGTCCAGACTGCGGTTAATCAGCACCACGGATGACAGCATCTCCACAGCCACCATCAGCTCCGGGTGTGTCAGGGAACCCTGCATGACCAATCACAGAGTCTCAGAACACTGGGCAGAATGCAGCATGCTAGCACCTGGTAAGGCTCATAGATCTCTGTATATATTACTTTCTGTCCAAGCCTTTATCTTCATCTGTGCTGTCTGAACCCTGTTTTAGTGAGTTCTCAGAGAGGCATTGCTTGCACTTTAAGGAAAACTTGGGTAATATATACTACCAAAATGGTACTTCATGTTTTATTTTAATATTTTATCAATGGAAATGAAGAGAATAGAAAGAAAAAAATCAATAAAATAAGGTAGAGACCCCCCATGCTTTTTGGATCACTGTGATGAGGTGGGGTGTAACTGAATATGTGAACTGTTAAAGGTAACGGCCACATGTAACTGGTAACGGCGAGTGCAGTGCCGACCCCCGACCTCTGAACTCTGCTGCTGCAGGGTGGCGAGCTCTCGCTGGTACAGGTCTGCAGCTGTGGGGTACACCTGGGGCAGCTGGGCATCAGGTTTCATCAGCTCTGAGACTGTGTCCTCCGCCACGCCGGCACGAATGGCAGTGTTGATCCGCTGTACAGCCACCAGCACTGGGGGAAGAAAAGGCAGAGGAGCCAATGCAGACACATAGACTCGCTCTACAGGATAGAGCATGCACTAGTGCCCTAACAATGCGCTTTATATCCAGAATCTTTCTTTGACTCCACTCTGCAACTCCAGGCAACAGGTTTCACAAAAGTTTTATGCAAATTTAAGATTTGTATAAACTGTTTAAATTAAAATGGGAAGAGATCCCACTTATAGGCCACAAAACGTCAGCTTCTTCACTGGTAGACTGGTAGACTGTTGGCCTTAGTTTGTAAAACCACATATTATAACACATTTAGCTACAACGTGTGTAGCATATCGCTCTGCAGCAAGCTGATCTTCAAAAATGAAGGACTGGACTTTGTCATATTAGTATGGATTAAAAGGCTTCCGCAGGGTGTTTGAGAATGGGCTTGTGAATGAGGGACGTCAAAGAAGGAAAGGGAATTACGTCTCTGGTAGCTGGCTGCATCCTCGTTTGCCAGGTCCACTCCGCTCTGCAACTCTTCCTTAGTAAGCAGCTCCCCCGGGTAGCTCTGGGAATGAGAGATTGATGTTATAAAATCACACGCGTGGGCCAAACCGGCCTGCTTTCACATCCGCCACTGGCCGAGCTGCTAACTCATGACGAGGGAGAGAAAGCCCGCGGGAGGCAGGGGGCTGATACCTGCTCTTTGTTCTTGCGGTCGGAGTCGAGCTGCTTGAGGTACCACTCCTTGTTCTGGGGCTGCAGGCCGCGCAGGCCCAGGGCCTGGGAGCGGAGCGCGTCGTACAACCTGTCCTCGTCGCCGCTGAGGATGGCCTGCTCCGTTGAGCTCAGGGCATTGCCCACTGAGAGGGAGAGAGAATTAAGTGTGTGGGGAGGAGACAGAGAACAGGGAAATAATAGAGGAAGAAGAATAAAGACAGCCAAGGACTCAAAATAGACAATAGCAGACCAGAAAAAGGAGTGGAGAGTGAAAACCGACTATCAGAGTCAGTGAAAGTGAAAGTGAAAGTTATAGGTTGAGAGATTCACTGAGTCAAGGCCTTGTCCATAACATGCATTTATAGTATAGTTGCCAATTTAAAAATGTAAAATATATTTCCTTTCACTGTGCAGAGCACTTAAGAATTAACAATTGCTGTTTACAGATATTGTCAATGCAGTCTTTGTCTAGAAACTACACTGTGGTCTACAGTGTGATATAATTAGGTCATGTTGTAGGTTATGATATAAGTAGTACAGTTTTTCAAAACCCCTGATGATTGAACTACATTTTATACAGTATACTAAGAATTAGTACTACAGTGCAGAAGTGATGCAATAAGATGTTTTCAAATACTTCTATGTGGGGAAAACATGTATGGTGTCATGTAAATAAAGGGATTTCTGTATGTGAATGCGAGAGTCCTGTAGGGGGCTGGCATGCCAGGCTGGCAGGATTACTCACGGTTGACTTTTTTTATGTTGCCCTGTATCTCGGCCTGGGTGAGCAACTCCTCATACACATCTCGCTCCTCCTCTGAGTTCTCCCCTGCCATCTAGAACACAACAACAGTCAGGGCCGGAACTGGACAGATAATCCCACATTAACTCATATCGAGACTACCAATCACTTTATATCTGATGTCATGTATTGTGAGATTAATAAAATATGCAGATCACCAAAACAAGAAAATGACATCAACATAATCAAAACGTAACAATAAGAAAAACCTTATCCTTTAAAGCTGCTTTTTTATAGCATGTGTACTGATATCCTGTTGCGCAGACATGAGGAAGGTCAAGTCATTAGACTGATTAAAATATGTCATTAACAGGATTGATCAACAGGGTGTCTACCATGAAAGTCACAGGTTAGTAGCATGTGACCACCTACGGAAGCAATGCAAGCTGTGCATCTGCAACAGGTGCTTTGTACCAGATTACAAGTGTCTTACATAGCCTGGAGAAGCATGAGACTGTTCACTGATCTCTGAGCGCTAAATGCCACATATCATCCCAGTTCATCCCACAAATGCTCAACGGAGTTTGTATCTGGTGCATTTGGCATCCATAGCATAAGTGTCACATTCTCATCTTGCAAGAAAGCTGTTGCTACATGAGCAGCATGAAGATGTGTTGTCCTGCAGGATGAGCCTGCAGGAAGAGCAGAGGGTGAGGTCCCAGGACTTGATCACTGTAGTGCTGTGCAGTCAGGCTGCCATTCATCATTCTAAGTGGAGTTCTACAGCAACTACACACCCCAGCCCAGACCTTCACACTTGTATGTCCCCACTGATCTGTGCCACATGCGCTCAATGACAACCCTCAGGATGGTCTAGACAAAACCTTAATTCATCACCGAATAGGACTTGTTCCACTGCTAGAGAATTTACTTGAAGTGACTTAGTGCAGCCTCCAACATACACAACCAATGGCACTGTTCTCTTGAAAACGGGTGGAATGGATACTTTTGTTTTTTCTTTCATGATTTCTAATAGCCTAAACGTTCAACAGGTTAAATGACCTTATCATCCATGCTTAACCAACACGCTCACTAACAAGGCAATGTAATACTTATGCAGAAGTCAAAATTTACTTGAGTGCATAATGTTCAGTCATAAATGATCAAGTAACAAAAATGACACAAACTATGCCATTTGTTTTTGATCGAAACTTGTATTCTTCAGCCATGTGAAATTTATTTACTTCATAACATGGAATTTCTTTTGATTCTTGAATGTATTTAATACTTACAATAGCTGTTTTTCTTTTGCACGGCACTAATGGCTGTTTATGTAACATTTGCAAGGGCACTTTTTTGCAGTAAGGACTTTTGTGAAGTGCTTGCAAACTTAATTAGAATTCACTCATGTTTTTGAACGGAGATACCGTTTTCCCTAATTCAGTCTCAGTATGCACTTCCCAGAATTCAGCTATAACTCAGTACAGTCCTGTACTTGTACAGATGTATCTTATAATTTCAAAAGATAAAAAAAACATTTACAAAAAGTAGAAGAATCTAAAAATAATCCTTTTTTATTACACAGAGATGTGATAGAATGCTCGAAGATGAAGAAAAAAGTCAACACTTGCTTCTTTCATCTATAGTTCTCTTATGATCTAGCTAGTCTACCGATGTAATAACGCCAACTAGGCAGCACTAGAATACAAAGCACAGAGTCAAGTGAGCAAAATGGTACCCGTTTTCTGGCACTGGCCACTTTCTCCTGCTTGGCCAGGTAGAGCCTGTCTTGGTAGTCCTGGGCAGAGCCCTCGTCTATGTTGACCAGCATGGCATTGGGGTTGCGCATTGCTGCCATAGTGCCCTCTGGTACGCCGTGGTCAATGGCATCATTGATGGCAATCACTGCAGCATGCACTAGAGGGTGAAAGATGGAGGCCACACGTGAATGTGAAATCTTCACTCAGAAAAGCGCTGCTATATAATGCTCGGGCTACAGATGTCTCCACTGTGATCATCAAGGGTTGATAGATAGAAAGCCCATAAGAAATTAAATACCGTAAACATTCCATATACATTGCAGTGAAATCATTACCGCTCTAACTTGATTTTTGCACTTTATCTCTTTCAGGTCAGGTCTTTGTGCCTTATGTGGACAGCTGTTTTAAACGTAACAAATTTTAAAATTTTGTGCCTTTGTTTTTTTTTGCTGTTGTTGTAGATGGGTATATGGAAAGCATCTACTGTTTTTAAAGCATATTTGATAAGGAGGTACCTCTTCAGGCATAAAATGAACCATCTTCGTAACAGGTATTTAGGAACTGAAATTCCTCCCACCAAATCTCTGACCAGACCACCTCCCCTTTGCCCCATTCCCAGGAAATTGAACTCACAGGCAGCTTCATCCACTGACAGCTCATTGGCCAAGATCCCACCAATCTTACTGAAAGCAGGCATCTGAATCCCGTACTTCTCCAGCTCACTTTTCATATTGTTGATTTCCTCCTCTGCATGTTGGAGAGGGAACAGAGGAACATCAGACAGTAGACGAGATGTGTCTATCTGGCCCATCTAACCTATTTGATTTTTAGTAGCTACATAAGTGATCTGAGGACACTGTACAGCTATTTCTTGAAAGAAACAAAATGACTGGCTTAAACATCATGGAGGATGAGTAGCTTATTCCTATCTCCCACAATCCGAGAGAGACGGAGAGTTTGAAACTGAGTTTGGTACAAACCCCAGAGGTACTACACTGTGGAAGCAGGACAAGCAGGCTGGCTCTTCAGGAATAAGTAGGACGTGTATTTGAACACACTGGAGCCAGGTTTGCATCCGCTGCCCTGGGCTGATGTGCTGAATCCCAACAAATTCACCAGCCCTTACTGCCAACTCCCCCTTCTAGACCTGCCCGACACAATCTCTACATTAGGAGGCTCTGTGGGAAACGGGCCACGGTCCCTGTGCAGCACATGCTCTTCCCTTTGGAACAGCATCATTTTAACAGCAGAAGCCATAAGGGAAGCAGGCTGCTCTTGGTTGTGTTGACCCTCACCGTGGGGAGGATTCAGAAGTGGAAAATGCTTGTTTTCTGTACAGCTATGATAAACAACTCCCCAGCCCTGAGCTTGGCAGGCAGAGAGAGATGGAAGCACAAATAACAGGAAACACAAGCACAATCGCTAATGTGTTTCACATCATCGGCAGTGAGTCACCCCATCTCCTGCCTACCGTTGCCTTAACCCCTCACGTTGGGCATTGAGTCTCAGGACTATACCTCCCACTGCAAGCCAGGCTTCTCACAGGATGCTTCAATGTCACTTACCTGTGAAATCCACCTTGCCATAGAGATCTTGGATTTGAGGGGCCAAGCCCAGCTTGAACAGGTACAAACTGGAGGAACAGGAAGAGAGAGACAGGGTTTCCATTCAGTCCTGCAGTGAAATCTGCCTAAATGTTATTTAAAGTGGTAACACGATCAGGACACGGCAGGCATTTTCCACAGGAGGCCCTACCCATCTAACAGGTGTAGGTTTATGATAGAGGTCACGACGGGCTATACAAGAATAATATGCACATACAGTACTGGCATGCACATGGATACAGGAGTTCTGATTCCTTTAATTATGTTTTTAATGACATTTCCCCCCCCCCCCCAATGTATTGGCTGTAGGTGTTATTTTCCTATATAGTCTCTCTGCACTATTTAACATTTCGAGAACATACAGACACTCCCCTACCAGCTTTCCTGATCTCCCTTGCCTGGGCCTCCCCTTTTCCCTGCTCTGAAATGAGCTGCACTGTGGCCTCTCAGCTCTAAAGCCAGTTTGCCTCCTTTATTAATTTTCATTCAATACTGTAGTGATACCTACCTAAATGTTATTTAAGAGAATTTAATAAGTTCTAAATATATTAAGCAATATGCAATGGAATTTCCCTAACAATACACCCAGGAGTCAAGAAAAGACTATCAAATATGACAGTTCAGTACAGAACATGTGAGTGTGGTTTTAATTTTTAATCCAAGTAAATTTTAATACTCTCCCCACTACTTGAATCCTCTGAACTAAGGAGTCTGCTAGGAGATATCTCTAAAGAGATATCTCTGAGATGCCCCAACACTCAGTAAATACAGATGAACTGAAGACCACACTGAAGATACTAAATGTGGACGTTCACATAAATGAGGTGTCAATGCCAAATCTTATTTTAAAGAATAACTGGTGAAATTTAACTTAGTGACCAGCGATTTACATACTGGAAGGTAATGCAGATGCAGATAAAAAACACAATAAGTTTATTGTTTTAGGATTTAGATAACTTTCACTAAAGGAATCATGCCCTGATATTTGATCATGACTGCACCAAAGGAAATCTGATACAGCAAAATCAGAAATTAAAAAGATATTAATGTCACTTTATAATGTAGTAATGTGGTGTGCTCAACTAATACCCCTGGCAGTGTGTGAGAGATACGTCTAAATTAAACAAGGCTATCCATCAAGTGCCAATAGCAGAAAATAATAATACAAACTGAACAAAACGATGACACAAAAAGCCCTTGGCTATGGTGTTTGACTAGAACAAAGCTCAGTTGACTACGACAGCTACAAAATGAATGGAAGACGACATCCACTTCTTTCACTAGTTACCCAAGTGTAACTTCAGGGCTTTCCAATACTGCATTTTCTGTGTGACTCATGAATACTTCAAACACATCATCTGTGCTTGTCCCTGTGATCAGGTTTAGATTACAAGATGGCTGGAGCTGAGGTCAAAAAAGTGCCAAAGTTCCTATGTAATCTACCACAGGAAGTGACTGGCAGATTAGTGGCACCGACTGTTTGGAATGGCTGATGTAGATTCTTCTTGCAGCTCTCTTCAATACACAAGCTTCTGCCAGTCGGACACACATGTGGGTTTAACTTGTTTTCTCAACCTGGCTGGTAAGACTGCAAAACCCCTCGGGGAGAAGAAGAGGAATTTGCTCAGGGTGATGGGGGTTATCTGATAACACATGTTGATTTGGAAACACCAGAGGCTGTCCGCTTAGGACAGCAACCCACAACCGTTGCTCTCCAATGCCACTGGCCGACGGAAGCAAGTGGCAGCTGCCTTGTCCAATGAGTAAGCAGGAGCTGGAAGGTACCTGAGCGCGTGGATGCAGTAGATACAGCGGGGCATGTTCTTCCTGTCGTAGATGTCTGTTGTTTCTGGGTAGAAAATCTGAAAAGAAGCAGATAACCCACCCTCAGGTTCAGTGCTTTGGTGGTATTGTTAAAGAGACTCGTGTTTTTATAAACACGTCCCAGCACGTCAAAGACTAAGCACTCGGCTCTGCTGCAATCATAACATGCTAACCTGGTGCACAGAGGAAATTGCCTAATCTCTACAAGGGTAGGCGGTCTCTTACTACACACACTGGAGCACATTCACAGCTGCTCAAATCGAAAACGCTGTTAAACAGCCTTTTGGAAACCATGATTAAAGTGGTATGAGGCCCTGTCCTCTCCGTGTCCCTGAGCTCTGTATGCACGCCTCCAACCCCAGAGTCCACTCACCTTAGGCAGCCCAATCTCTGTCATAGCATTCAGCCACTGGATCACATTGTCTGTATGTCTGAAATGAAGCCCTGTGGCCTGCAAGAGAGATATAAATAGTTATCAAAATATTTCCCTAGAACTTTCAAGGAGCTCTAGCAGTACAAAGCTTTTGCTGAGACCAGTTGTAGGGCCGTGTGGTCCAGACTTCACCACAATGTGTGCTCTAGTTGAGCGTCTACGGATCATCACTCACGTCATGAGGTACAGGAGCTGTATGGCCAGTCTTAGAAGTGGCATTTATTAATTCAGCAGGAAGTTAATAAAACTAAAAAACCTGGTCAGGACAACAGATCTAGGCACCCTTGTCCAACCAGCCTTCCTGATGCAGAAAGACAAGTCGGCATTCTGCTCCACACCCCCAACCGCCACGCCCATCCTCTCACCCTGTAGCGCGTCTGCTCTCGGTCGTAGATCTTCTTGACGGAGACAACTCGGGGTGCAAAGAAGTTGCCCAGCTTGGCCAGGTACACCCCATTTCGCAGGCCCTCCTCCAGCTCGGTGGTGGGTGGCAGCTCCTCATCCAGGCAGGCCTCCATCCATCTGAAACGGAGAAAAAGAGAAATAAACCACAGGAACACAAGACAAAGGAGAGACCATTTGGAAATGGGAGGAAAAATGCGAGGAAGCAGTGTGGAAAAGGTGAGGGAAGGTGCTTCCAGAATACCTGGGGGCATGTTGGCCAGTGCTGCATCAGAGAGCACAACAGTGTAAAATGCTTCTCTGAAGGAAACAAGAGCCCCTACCCCTGACCTGGGGTTTTTAAATATCATCTCCACATGTCCTTTTCATGTTGTATAGAGTGGAAATACTTCTGCAAGATTCCACAGTACTGATTTGAACACACTTCTACTGTCTGATGAATCACCCCCAATTTCAAAATCTGAAACAAATGCAAAAACCTCAAAGTGACAGAATAGAATACCACTATCTGCACCATCACATATCAAGCACATGGGTGCACTTTCAACACGAGTGTGCAGAGCATTCCAAGAGCAAGTACTGTTCACTGCCACGCAGTTCCTTGCATTCCTGACATACCATCTAGGCATTGCTTTCTGACCAATCCATCACATTCCATCTGTATCTCTGTTCGTACCATTGCACATGAGGTATACCGTGTGGTCTTATGACATTCGCAAACAGCAGTCTGAGACAGAGCCATCTTGGAATTTTTCATTTTCAAAAGCATACACAGTTACTACAATTTTCCTACCCTTTTTTTTTTCTTTAACCAATTGGCCGGGAATTAACAGATACGCTGCCTATAATTACAATTATGCATCTGTAGACGTCTTCTCCAATCCAAAGCAGAAAGCTTTTTGACCGAACTGCAGCATTATCTGTCCAAATTGTTTCAGTTTTGTCTAGGGTTTCCTCTGCATTATCTGAAAGGTAAAAAACTTCATCTATAAAGGCTGGGCTTCATTCCATACGAGGTCAAGCATCTGGTAACACCTTGATGCACTCAGGGTCTGTGGCTGCAGGGCACATTCTTCAGTCTCCGTCCTTACAATGCGTGTTATATTAGGCCTCTGAGTTTGAACCGTATCCTCTTCCCTGGCTACTGTACAGCATTGCCACTTAAAAAAAACACAGCTGGGGTGAAGGGATCATTCACAGAAAACCAGGGACAAAAGAGCACACGCAGACACATCTGGGTGTGGCAGCTTGACATTGTGCATCGGCATAGAAAAACAGACCTCAGGCACCCACGTTCTGTGCAAATAGTGGATTGTTCCACTGGTTTCGAGAGCAATTCAACATCACTGCTAAAGATCTCTACCACATTGACACAGTTCTATTCTCAGTAACGTTCTAACAGAAAGGCTATAGGAAGGGACTTTAACACTACCGAGCAAAAGCAGAGGAACAAAAAAGATTTTAATAAGCAACCTTCCTTAATTTCCTTCGCATTGGAAGCAGTTTTGAGGAATGATTTGCATGCCTTTGCTCGCTCTCTTGCTAGGAAAAGCTCCAGTTTTCCTCTACGGGAAATGGAGAGTCCTGGAAAAGCCGGTTTGGGAGGGACCTGTCAGAGCCATGGATGAGCACAGCCATTCCCACACTGGCTGTCCGAGCTCTCAGCCTACACTGCACACTGATTGGGCCCTCTCCGCCTCACTGCATAGACAGAAGCTGTTTTCCCAGCCAGAGTTATCCACCCACCTATATTTAAATTCTCGAAATAAAGACACCTTGCTCCCCCAACCATGAAGCAAACCATAGTACAATAAGCTAATTGGCTTCCTTATATGAGACACTCCCCTAGTGTGAAATACAGCTCTGTAGGAGCCTGCTGAGAAACGTACCTGTCTAACTGCCTGTGTGCTGATCATAACATGCTTGACTTAGCTCAGGGTAGCTAGGGATTTACCAGCAGCACTGACACACCTGTTCTCTCACACCCAAAACAACCTTCTGCACAGTCACAATGATCTCAGAGGGATCTGAGAAAGCTGCCAGCCAAATACCACAGGTTCAATAAAATCACTGAAAGGATACTGGACAAAATGTCATCAATGGGCAACATTCATTTCTATACTGCAAGTAATAAGCAGCATCTCGTCTACAGCACCCTGCAGCTCCATAAGCAGCCCCGCGTCAGAGGGAGTGGGCAGACTTGACATTCCTCAAACTTCCTGCCATGGGAAGCTGGGTTTGCAGACGGCTCAGGGGTCCTCCAATAGGAAGACAGTGTTGATAGAGAACTGTCTCTCCAGGAAGAAATAAAGAGGCCTCTCTCCTCCTCCCAGACTTGAGGGCTTTCCTGAGTTCACACCAGCCCTGTGCACAGCCTTCTGTTCTCTGTGCACATGGCAGGAATCCCAGCATTCTTCTCTAGGAAGAACAGATGGTGACCCCTCTAGAGCCCTGGCTCCCGTTCACACTTCCGGCAAAATCCATCTTCAGCAATCCTCTGGGGTCCACAGACAGCAAGACCTGGTCTCCTCCTGTGCTCATCCAGGGGAAAGCATCAATTTCTCCTTGTGAAAAGAATGAACTGCTCACATCACGAAGAACAAAAAAAAAAATACAGATTTCCTCTATGATGTTACTTGTTCCTTTGACGCAGAATATTAGATCTTGAACCCAAAGAGATCTACTACTAGTTTGCACTGTGTGCATGGCTTCAAAATACTTTACATCAGGCTCATACGAAGTCACACCCATTGGGATGAATGGAAAATGAACGTCCAGAAAGGTATAAAGGAGAATTTATGAAGTATTAAGTAGTACTCTTTAGTCCACAGATAAATGGTTTGCACAATAGATTAGGGTAAAGGATCTGCCAGTTATTTCAAAACATGATGTTTGCAGAGTCCTGATTGAAGCCTTGTAAAGAGCCCAGTTATTCAATTAGATGCAGAGTCTGTTTTTAGGTCTAGAAGCACACCAACACAAAATCTTCCATTTCCCTTTAATAGAACAAAATGTAGTACAACAACAACAACAACAAAAAAAACACTTCCTTGAATGAACAGACAAAAATTAAACTGTCCGGGGTCAGGGATTTTCAGGAATGTGCAACAGAATTCCTAGATGTCGCCACATTTGTAGAGCCTGGAAAGTAACAACTTCTCTCTGGTAGCATCTGTCCTCCAGTCACTTCCTCTCTGGGGGAGATGGCTTCTTGCACAGCACTCTTTCATTCCGCGCAGTCTGTGTCAAGAGTCTGTGCCACTACAGCAGGCACCCAGACAAATACAGAGTGTACATTACTCACTCTTACATAGCTGGTGCTTGGCCATAAAAGCTGGGAATAGCCAAACCATTTGAGATGGGAGTCCCGACCTACAACAAGTTTCCCCATTCACTAGAGCTTCCCAAGGCCGACAGGCAAAGCCTGAGGTCAGCAGATTTGGTTACTGTGCTACCTGGAGGTAAATCACAGCATCACAGCATATACATCCTCTCTACTTTGCACACAGGAAATAATTGAGTGCTAAGCTAGAGCCTCATTACAAGTCCACTGGGTGGAAGGATCCTGTTCTCAGAAGGCATTCAGGCAGAAATGACTGAAAAAGACTATTGTGCAGTAGTCTCTGCGCAAATTAAACATCTGTTTCTATATTTTGTGTGCTAAGACGGAGTGTTTCCACTAATCCAATTACTGTGTTATGTCATGGTAGATGCTCAACTCATTCCCAGGTGTTCTATTGTTAAGTTTCCAAATATAAATTTATTGGTTATATGGTTTTCTACTATGGCATTCATTTGAAATGAACAAATTAAATAATGAATGCATAGAAGAGGTAGAAATGTTGCAGGTACTAGAAGCAATTAAATCTCAAGTATCTGATGGAATTCTACCAACTGTATTTAAGAAAAATGTGGCATGTTATTCATAGACTGTTAAAAAAAACTCAAGACAAAGACAAACCAGCTGAAAGGAAAACTGCTAAAATAACACCCGCAGATAAAAAAAGGCTTCAAAAAGGAACCAAGTATAGACCTGTAACTGTTGTACCAGTTACATTTACAGTTATAGAAATGATAACGAACTGGAGGATCATCTCTAAAGGCAATAAGATACAAAAGTACAGTCAACAAGAATTTAGAATAGGGAGGTCTTGCTTATTAGAATTCTCTGAACAAGCAGTAGCAGCCAAGGATATGGAAGACACAATTTGTTACATTTTGATTTGATAAGATTTCTTATAAAATATTTGGTTCTCACATTATAGATGTTAAGCATATGAATAACATGCATAATGTATTGCATAAGGCATGAAAAATGAACTAAATATTAATTTATATGCAAGATGAGAAATACTGAGATTGACACTACTCATGAAAGACACGAGATGACTGACATGTTTATTTTAAGTAAAGGGTGGGAAAGAAAGTTAGTACTGTACATATATTTAGATGTGTAGAATTTATAAAGCAAGGGGTTTCATGTAAACTGTACATAATGCAAGTCTTACTGATGCAATGTATAGTTCTGGTGACCACGTAACAGAAAAGATCTTGCAGCTCTCTAACAGATCAAGGGAAGTGTGACCAGATACATTCTTGGGATTAAAGGAATGTTCTGCTCCAACCAGCTAAAACAACTAAATCCTTTTAATCTTTAACAGAATACCATGAGAGGACATGATTCAAAGCTACAAAAATCCTGAAAAGCTCTGACAATATCAACCTCATGGATGTCAGAATAAACAGAGAAAGACAAACAAGGGGACACAAATGAAAACTAACAAGAAGGATACTCAACACTGAGAGCAGGAGGCACTGTATTTATACAGAGTGCTGAGTTGGTCTAGAAAAAGCTTATACTGCCACACCGATGAGATTCTTTGGGTAACAATCAGGAGGAAGCCTTCTTATGGTCTCATGATCTCAACTGAGATTCTAACTGAACACACTAGAAAATGAGGTCTGTTGAAAATGTTCTTCGTTAGGCAAACCTGACTGTCCAGAGATGTCATGCTCAGTAATATAAAACTAGACATATAGACATAGAAACTGGACACAGGGCGCCCTGATTGTCCAAGAATGTGAGGCTCGGTTACCACAGTTTGGATAAAGAAACTGGA